AGTACTTATCTTGATGAATGTAGAATTTAAATGTCGATTGTTTTTTTCCGCAGTGAAACAAATTTTGATTAAAGATATTGATGACCTGTTATTTTCACTGAAAGATGTAGAAAGAAAAAAATACGAATAGGTCATATTTTTGATCTTTGAAATGCTCGCCGAGCGCAGACGCATATTTTTCAGAGGCTTCATGCTCATAGACACGATATAATCTCGATTTTTCTTTATTTATTCTAAGGAAAAGAAAGGAAGATATGTTTTTTCTCTATAGAAACCATTCAAATTGTTTTTTTTGAAAACTTTGGCGACCTTGATAACTTGCTCTGCTTCCTAAAATTAAGAGAACCACCAGAACTATTTCTTCAAAAATCACACCCAATATTATAACAATAAAAGCTGCTTTCACGCACAATTCACTGTTAATCCATCTGTCTATATTATAACGAATAATCAATATTATGGGTAAAAATAAAATTAGATTGTTTTCTGTAATAATTATTAGAAACAAGTATTCTGATAAGTTCACACGCTCAAAAAATTCATGATTATTATAAAAATGATGTCAAAACATGAATAAGCAATTGTTTCTTGATGATAAAATGGATACATTCTTTGATTTTGAAAAAGATCTATAGATTAAAAATAGCGTTGTAACCAAAACTCATAGTGTGATTTTATTTTCGATGAAATAAATTACATGAATTTTAATTAATATGCTACTTTAAATCAATATATTTCTTCAACACACAAAATATGTTATTTTCATCAGCAACAACAGCAATTCTTCGAAGTTTCTTTTTTCTCAAATAAAAACAACCCACATTTTTTGTATAGCAAATGAATATTGTATGCAAGTGCTTTTTAGTCAAATTATTTATATTTATGAAATAGACATTAATAATTAAAAAAGAGTAATTATTTATTTAGCAGCATTCAATGAATAAGAGTTTTACATTGTTCGAGTCTATTTTCTTCTTTAGTAATCATATTAATGCCAATAATTGTTTTCTAACCAGTTGTTGTTATAGCACCAGTATTAGTGTTAATAGTAAGAATCAGACTTGCTGTTACACTACCTGCTGAATCGAAAGAATGGTGCAAAAATGAACCACTGTTAGAACCTAGAACGATAAAAACAGTTTATTAATAACTAAGAGAAAAATATTGTTTCATTTTTCATTTTTCATTTTTCACTTTGAACACCGACAGTACAACTAGCACCCGTGTCGTCTGCATTGTAATAGTGGATTTCAACAACACCAGGTGTAGCTTCAAAAAATTTAACTTGAAACTGATAATACCGAGTCGGTGATCCATACTGACTCGTATAATATTCGAATATAAGGTCACGATTCGGAGCAGTACCTTGAGTTGCATAATAAATACCTTGCCAAGTTTTGGCATAAATATAAAGATCATCCCAATATGGTAAAACTACGGTACCGAAAGAAGTACTAGGTAAATTTGTTTCCTTCCAATTATTCGAGCAACTGCTTAGACAGATAATCTATTCAAATTCATAGAAAATATATCACTTCAAGATTATTTTTTGTCAGTAAGAACTAGTTTCAAATACGAATGTTTAATGAGAAAAAACAAAAAAAAAAAATAATTGATACTTACACCATTAGTTGATAGTTGAACAAAATTAGTTGTCGTACTGTAAACTGTAATACTAAACGGAAGTGTTAAATTAAAGATGTCATCGTCAGATGATCCATTAATACCACCTGTCCAAATTGAAGTGTAACTGGTCAATTGAACAGCTGGTACTGTGCTACAGACACCAGCTGTACAGGTTGTGTATGATGCACTTGAACATACGGTTGAAACACTACCACAATTATTGAAATCAAGTAATAGATTTACACAAGTTCCAGATGATAGAGCATATGGCGAAACACAGCTGGCTATAATAAATTCAAATGAGAAACATGAGTTATTTGCTTTTGTTAAATGAATATTAGAATAACTAATATTAGAACAAAACCTGGAATTAGTGACTCCTTTATTATTTGCTTATCAAATATTTTCTATGATTCCTCTCATATAAACATGGCTATATTGGAAAGATTGTACTTGTTTATTTCTTCTATTTACAATAGAGTTATGTATCAAGCAAGCACAACGATGATAATATTCAGTCGTTGGCACGGTTGTTATATGACGAAAGAAAATTTATATGAAGGCTATCCTAAGGAGTACGTTCAGGTAAAAAAAAGTCTCATATTGAGAAATGTTCTTCTTCTGTCGAAAATTGTTTTGTTTCATCGATCAATTATCCTCTTCTTGGAGATCCAGTAAAAGCCATTTTAGCGATTGTGATATTTGAATATACTGTTTTTCTTGCTTTTTTTAAATTAAATAATAGCTCATTAAATTCCTATATCAAACATTGAAATGTATATATGAGCATCAAAACAAATAAAAATTATATGTTGTATAAATAAAACATGAAAACCATCATTTAAAAATCAAACAACCTTCACATGATTACTCCACGCAATAAATATGTATTTATACAATCTTATCTTCACTAATTTCAACATCACGTTCACTTTCAATTGATATTATTACTCGCCGATTTTTTTCAAATTCTTTGGGTTCTGATGTATTTTTCTTAATAAATAAAACTTGAAAATAAGAGTAAATCAAAAAAAAAACTATTATGATCAGTTACATTAGATCTACAAACAATAAAATTAATAAATCACCTGAAAATTGAAATGCAACAGAATCTTTAGAAAAGTCTAATAATGTTTCTCAATATGTAAACTCGAAATCAAATTTTACTGAAACTAAGAATATTTTCGTTCTCACTTATATATTTCAAAAATCTGGTGAACAGCTAATTAAAAGACTCTAAAAGGTGTGAGTTCCGAATTGAAATTCGACTTTATCGTAAGTCTTGCTAATAAAAATAGATGATTAAACACAAACTATTTGAAAAATAAATTTAAAATTTCTATGTGTGAGTCTCCATATTAAAAATGGACTACGACAGATTTATAAAAGGAACACATAACGTTTCTATGTCGAATTAATACATGATAATTAATTTTATCTAAATATGTTAGTATTGAAAAAGTATAGATAAATGCTAAATAAAGATTGTATGAAGAAAATCAGAACTTTACAACTGATTATTCAATTTTCTTTCTTCTACATTAATCTTCTTTTAGTGTTAATCTTTTAAAATTATGTTTGCATTGCGTTACTTGTCAATTAAGATTGAAATCTATCGTATTCAACCTGAAGTACTTACTTGTTGCGAGAGTTGTAGCAGCAGTTGATGTGGCTAAAAGATTCAATTAAAAATTCAATTGTCGATAAAAAGAAAAAGGCGATGAAAGAAAAAAAAATTTCGAAAGCAATCGTTCTTTTGTCGAGTCACTTTATTTACTTGTTATACTTGGTTGCGTCAACACAAGAGGAAGAACAATGGCAACTCCAACCAAACACATAATTAATAACGTTAATTGAACAAGTATTACAGTTAATAGGACTTTGGTGTGTCTAATAAATAGAAAAAAAATCGTTGCTTTCATTTTTGAATAATAACAAAAAATGTTTATGGCAGTTTTGAACACATTTCAAAAATATTATTGTAGCAACAGCAGCTTTTCTTTTTTTTTTAAGAGATCTATAAAATTATATAAATTTGTGCTCCACTTGAGTGTTTACAAATTCAACAGTAAGAATCTTTCTGAATTCAATGACTCCAATTTAACTGTAACAACCTAGGAGAATGACAATGGAGTTTTTCGAAAGAAAAATTATAATGATAGTGACATCATAGACTTCTCTTGTCTAGGGGCATAATATCTCAATGGTAGATTTCTAACCACAATGGACATCTCTGACAGAAAACAATAAATGATAAATTTGCATACTTATATTTACTAAAAAATGCTCGTAGATTATCCATACAACCATTCTTTGGTTGATATTTTGCTGATTTTTTTTTGTCTGGAACAATATTAATGGTCTCGATTTGTCCATCGGATTTCTTCACTGTAGTTGCATTTTGCTATAGATAAATCATAATTGAATTATTATACAATATGTTTTTAGATAGTTGAATATCAAACTTAATCAACTAGAATAATGTATTCAAAAGAAAAAAAGCAAAAAACTGAAAAACCTGAAGACACATGCATATCAAAATTTGTTAAAAAAAATGATTCCAAATCAACAAATAAATTTTTGGAATTGTTAGTTGGTCTTAAACAAAAATTATCTACTTACTACTTCTGGAAAAACTATTGATTGAGAGTATAATGCAAGAGAATGTTGACTACTTGTCGGCATTTGTACAATAGTGAGCCTTGTATACACTAAAAAATTTATTCAGCTACGCCAAAAAAATAACTGAATTATAAAATCTTTTTCTCTGTTTTTTTCAATAACTTCTGTCAAAATGTCAACGATATTTATGTGTTAAAATTGCGTTTTCTTTTTTTCTTTCATTTGCATATTATATTTACTTATGCGACTTCAATGATGAAATTTAGAAATAAAACTATCAATCGCACTTCTTATTTTTATTAAATTTTAAAAGAAAAACAATGGCTTTAAATAAAAAAAAATCAGATTAAAACATTATATTTTCTGGTGTTATGATCTTTGAACATACAGTGTTTATTTTTTTTTACAAAACAGTATATTTATAAGTAAACTGTCGATTTTGACTTACTAACATGAATGTGTCAAATAGTGTCAAACCCATCATCTTTCACGATCATCATCCTACGAACAAGATCAACAAACAAATGTTTTTATATGTTTAGGATGATCATTCCCTAAATGTATATTTGCAATAGCTTTCCATATATTGTATGTATTTGTTAATGAGTAGCACGATTAAATTTCATAAAAAGACCCTAGTAGAATATCATATCAGTTTTAGAATTAGGATAACAGTGCAGTATGATTAAAATTGTTAAAATCAATCAATGCACATGATGACTGCTCTCTTTTACCAATCGAGTGTTTTCTGAAACACGTCACACTAAAGAACAATAACTAATGAATGTATTACAAATCTCATACCTAACTTCTCTTTAGCCATTTCAGCAATTATTATCATGTGAATGACAAATAAGATTTGTTTGCTAATACAGTCACAATGTTACAAATATCGCTTAACCAATATCTGAAAATACTTATTATACTTGTGTTTCGATACAGTTACATTGAAGAATAAGATGGATGAACAGAAAAGAGACTGTTGAAGCAGAGATTTTCAATATCATAATATTACAGCTAACAAAGCAGTTACATTTGCTTGTATTTTACATACATAACGTCTCTTCAAATAGATGTTCAGTGTTAACTTATTTTGTAAAGTTTTTTTTCCCTTATGATTCATTTTATTTATTTATTACATATTATTTCGAGAATAAATAGAATAAAGAAAAAATTACATTTCTTTCACAATCTTTACTTCGGAATAAAATTGTTGTGTGCATTCGATCCAATGATGCGAAATCAATCTTACAAAATGTAAAAGAATCATGTCATAATTTTGTTAATGATCTAAATTCGTCGATGAACAACACAAGTAGAATAAAATTCTCGAGCTATGGAAAGTTTTTTACGACTTAAGAGACAAACTGTTGTTTTCTGATTCTACCTCACAATAATCCTTACAAAAATTCAAAGGAATCAAGAATTAACGCGCACATAATATTTCTAAAATAAATAAATCATTTTACTTTAGTTTTTTTATGCATTCACTCAGTATTGTTCGGTTTGCTTTCTTTTAATTGATTTTTCTGTTGTAATCGATACAATAAATTTTCGAAAAAATTCAAGTTATTCTTCTGCCAATGATGTCTTCAAGTTTGTACAGAAGAGAACAATATTAATATAATTGTTCGATTTCTGTCAAAATATCGTTTGCTAGTAGTGACGTACTTTTTGGTTTCACATAGGGCCAAACACTAGGTGCCAAAACATTATTCATTGTATTATTTTGTTCTGTTAATGTCCAAAGAACTAATTGCTCAATTGTATCCATATCCAAGTACACCATCCGACGAATCCATAACTTAAACTTTCGATCATTACATTTTGAATAGCAATGGCAGCACTTAATATATTCGGAT